TAGTGTTATATTTACACTTTATCATGCTTATAGTTTCGGGCCTTACATTTATGTCTTTAACCTATTTTGAGTAAATTTTTTAATAAGGTGTGAGATAAGGGTCTAGTTTTATTCTTTTGTATGTAAATACTCAGTTTTTGCCATTTATGTAAAAGACTATTCTTTTTTTTGGATAGCAGGTATGGAACTCATAACCTAGTGCTTGCCAGGTTGGCTCTGATGCAGCTGAACTAAATCCCCAGCCCGAGACTATTCTTTACTGAAGAGACTATTCTTCCTACATTATCTATTGTTGGCATCTTTGTAGAAGAGCAATCGACAGTAAATAAGAGGATTTATTTCCAGGCTGTCTATTGTGTTTTATAAATATGGTTTCCTGGCAGTATTCTGTTTTGATGTATACCTCTGTGTCTATCTGTTTGTCTGTCTGTCTATCTATCTATCTATCATCTATTTCAATCAAAGCTCTTGCCATACAGTTCAGAGTGGCCTGGAATCACTCTACAGCCCAGGCCGGGCTCAGCCTCCTGGTGGTTCTCCCTCAGCCTTCCGAGTGCTGGGATTACACGTGTGAGCCACCTTGCCAGCTTTAGTATATTTAGAAATCAGGTGGCTTGACACCTTCACTTTCATTTTCTTGCTCACCTTTCTAGGATCTTTGCGCTTCATATGAATTAGGATCTTTGAGCTTCATATGAATTTTAAGTTTTTTTTTTCCTATTTCTGTGAAAAATGTACTGAAATTCTTTTTTTTTTTCTTCTTAGAACCAGAATTAACCTCATGACCTCAGGCTTGTCAGGCAGACATAGGGCCACTGAGCTATATGCCTGGCCCTGTGTGGAAATTTGGTAACAATTTCACGTATCTGTAAGATGCTTTGGGTGGAGTAGAGATTTTAACAATATTAATTGCTCTAGTTTACAGAAATATTTCTACTTATTTGCAGTTTTAAATTTGTCTCATCATTGTTTTGTTGCTGCTTTTATTTTATTTTTAAAAATTTTATTTTTAAAAGGATAAAATGGAATTAAACCAATCAAAACAAGCCAATGTAAGTGATACAGGACTGTATTTTTTTTAATAGTTTCCAGTGTATAAACCTTCACATCCCTGATTAAATTTACTCCAAAGTAATATATTTTATTATTTGGACGACAATGTAAATGGGACTGTTTTCTTAATTTTGTTGTGAAACAGTTGATTGTTAGTATGCTAACTGAGTTGTGTAGGAACACAGTTGACTTTTAGTATTGATTTTTAATCTTTTATCTTGTAACTTTAAAAATTCCTTTATTTGTTCTAACAGGTTCTTTTTTTGGTTTTTAGGAAGATATACTCCTTAGACTTTCTATATACTAGATAATACAAATAAAGACCATCTTTTTCCTTTCTAATTCAGACAATTAGTATTTCCTTTGCCTGTTTAATTGCTTTTCTAGAAATTCTAGTAGTTCGTTAAACAGAGGTGACTTCTTGTTTCTGATTTTAGAGGAAAAGCTCTTAGCTTATTACCATTGAGTATGATGCTAGCCATGGGCTTTTCTTCTATAGGCTTATTATATTAAGGTTCTTTTTGTCTATACTAATTCTATGAGGATTTTTATTGTGCAAATAATATGCAGGTATGCTGCATTTTGTAACATTTATATATTCAATGACTTGATTATATAATTTTTATCCTTTATTCTGTTAATTCTTTTATCCCAGGGATAAATGACAGTATATCATAGAGTATGATTTTTTTTTTTTTGTCTTTTTGAGACAGGGTCTCACTACACAGTTCAGGCTGGCCTTGAGATCACTTTGTAGCTCAGGCTGGTCTCAGACTTGCAAGGACCCTACCACCTCATCCTCCCGAGTGCTGGGATTACAGGTGTGCTATGGGTATGCACCACCATGGTTGGCTTTTTTTCTTTTAGACAGTGTCTCACTATGTAGTTTAGGCTGGCCTTGAGTTCATTGAGTGGCCCAGGCTGGCCGGAAACTAGCAGTGATCCTCCTGCCTCGGCCTTTTGAGTGCTAGGATTACAGGTGTGCATCACCACACCCAACAATATGTTGAATTCACATGCTTTCACTGTTACTGTTGTTCTGAGAGAGCTTTACTATACAGTGCATGCTGCTTGATAGTTTTTTGTATCTATGTCCATTCAAGATACTGGCTCCTTTTTTCACTTAGAATTCTTTCACTAGCATTCTTAGAATCTAAAGGTTCTTTTTTCACTTAGAATCCTTCTTTGGCTTTTATTTTAGGGCAGTTATACCTTAGTAAAATAAATTTCTCCAATTTTTAGAAAGAGTTTGAAAGGGATTGATATTAATTCACCTTTAAATATTTGATAAATTTTACTATTGAATCCACTCGGTCCAAGATTTTCTTTTTTGATAGGTTTTTGATTAGAGATTCCACCTCTTTAGTTGCTATTGATCTGCTGAGCTTCTTTATTTCTTTATGGTTCAGGGTTGGTAGGTGGTATGAGTCTAGGAACTCACTCCAGGCTATCTAACCATCAGGTGTGTAATCATTCACAATTGTCCCATGATTCTTTGCGTTTCTGTGGTGTCAGGTATGATGCCGCCTCTCATTTACATTACTATTTAAGTGCTCTCCTTTCTTAGTTTACTAAATGTTTGTAATTTTTGTTTGCCATAAAAACTCAACTGTTTTTTTAAAAGACCAACTCTTATCTTCTTTTTTATACACAATAGAAATTTTAATGATGCAAGCGTAATGACCTAGTCATAGCTGTTAACAGGAAAGTAATGAAGCAGATGCCAAGCATTATAGGAGAACATTAGAATTAAATCTTTCTGTATACCAGATATTCAAAGTTATTAATTTCATTGAACATTTACCATGACCTATCATGGGTTATATTATATTTTCTTTTTTTTTAAATTTTATTTAAAGAAAGACTAAACAAAACAGAAAACGGGTAGAAATAATACATAATTTCAAAGAAAAAATAAACAGTAAGAAATCACTAGTTGATATATACATATTGTCATCTTACAAATAGTTATTCAAGATACAAAAGTGGAGCATATAAAGTGGGATTCAAACAACGAGACTGCAAACAATTCTGTTCAACAAAATCTTAGTAAAATGCTTATCAATCCTATACACTTAAACATACATGCAGTTATCCATATCTTCATTTATGTTGACATTAAACAAACCAAAGCAGGCTAAAATCACTCTGAGCAAAGAATAATACTATTGCAGGGTTTCATATTATGACACTCCTGGATCAGCACTGGGTACTGTAGTGTCTCTTTTTCTTCAAAGTATTTGTTCATTTCATCATGTGTCATAAGATCAGTTCTCATGAACTGTTTATAGGTTCTAGACATGCATGAGTCTTAACATGTACTTCCATCCTTTCTATATTAGAGGGAGGGACAAATCAAAGCAAGACAAAATAAAACATATTCCTATAAACACATGAAATGAAAAAGATATATAAGACCACTGTACAGGCGTACCATGGTTATTGTGCTGTCTCTTGTTGTCTTCAATAGAATTGTCTATATCATCAGACATAGTATAATTGAATATATCAGTACATAACACAATTTTATAAGTAATATAAAACTTCAAAAACAGGTAGTAATCAAGCCAGAATGGGTATTGTAGTGAGTCTTGGCATCTTCAGTGCAGTTGCCTAAACTCTCAGACTTGATATTATCAATCATATCAGTTTTGAATAAAATCTGTTGAGACCCGACTGCAATCAAACAAGCCAGATTTAACTAAGATCAGTCATGATAAAACAGTATAAGTCATACAGGGCTCCAAATTAAGTTAATAGGAATTAAATATGATTACTGTGCTGTATCCTGGTGTTTTTGGGATAACTGTCTGTGCCTTCAAATCTTATGCAAGTAGACAAACTGGGACAGAATAAAATCTATCTAAGCACAGTGGTGCAATTAATGTGGGCTTTAAATCCTGATACCCTATTAACAGTATCTTCTGCCATCTTTTTAAAGACCATTTCTCCCCTTTCATGTCCCCAAGGTGCACTATAAATTTTTGGGTCTCATCTAGATCCTTGGTTTTAAATGGGTGGGGGGCAACCTGTGGTTACCAAAGTGGTTCCAAACCTTCTCTCTCCTAGATCTGATCTCTAAATGTATTCCTTTACCTATTAAAGCCTGTCTTTCCAACCTATCCACAAATACTTGTTTGGTTGCCTCTATTACTCTCTGGCTCTCTGTCCCATACAACATTGTTTTCCCATATTTGATTTTCAGTCCATATACCCTTTTCAGGTTAATTATATTTCCTATAAAAGACCATCTCAGTGGACCCTACCTCCTGATCTACTTTACCTGTGATTCTCTTTTTTTAAAAAAATTTAGTGTATCAAGGCCATCTATGTTAGAGATTATAACCAACCTTCCCTGCCTCATTTCTGTTATGCTCTTTGTTTGCCATCAGTGGTCTGCTTGTCTTCTTCATTCCACTTTCTGCTCCATTCATTGAGGCCTCTCTGCCACTGTTCTGTTCTCTTTCTCTAGAATGCCCTGCAGTATTCTCTGCAGAGTTGAATTAGTGGTCACGAATTTCTCCAGTTCCTCTTTGTCTTGAAGGATCTTGCTTCTCCATTAATTTCTAGAGAAAGTTTTTCAGGGTATATCAATCTGGGCTGGAGGTTATTTTCTTTCAGGGCTTGGAATATTTCACTCCAGGCCCTTCTTGACTTGATGGTTTGTGTCAAGAAGTCTGCCGTTATTCTGGTGGACCTTCCTTTATAGATGAGCTGTTTCTTGTCTCTAACAGCTTTTAATATTCTGTTCTTATATTGAATTTCTGGCATCTTGATTATTATATGCCTGGTTGTGGCTCTGTTTTGGTTGTAGGTGGCTGGAGTTCTGTATGCCTCGTACATCTGAAAATCATTTCCTTTCCCTATGTTTGGGAAGTTTTCCTTAATTATTTATGTGAATAACCTTTGTAGTTCCTTTGTTTGTACCCCTGCTTCTTCATTCACATAAAAATATGGAACGCTTCACGAATTTGCATGTCATCCTTGTGCAGGGGCCACACTAACCTTCTCTGTATCACTCCAATGTGAGTGTATGTGCTGCTGAAATGAGCACCCAACTCTTATTTTCAACGGTCTTTCCTCCTGCTTTTCTATTCACTGTTTTATGTATTTTTGCCCTTAATGATTTTCTTTCTTCTGCTAGGTTTTGACTAAGAATTTCTTCTTTTTCCAGCTATTTGAAGTGCAAGGTTGTCTGTAGATCTCTCTCTCTCTCTCTCTCTCTCTGACAGAGGGTCTCATTATGTAGCCCAGCCTGGCCTCAGACCTGTGGCTATCCTCCTGTTTCAGCCTCCTGACCACTAAGAACACAAGTGTGTGCCACCATGACAAGCAGACGTCTCGTTTTTTCCTAATGTAAACATTCATTTTTGCAAACTTCCCTGTTGAACCACTTTTGTTGTATCCCATACTTTTGGTATTTTGTGCTTCTATTTTGTCTCAAGACATTTTTGATTTCCTGTTTAATTTTTTGCTTTGGTTCTCTAGTTGTACAGATGCCTGTGCCATTTAATCTGGACTAGAAATCTCTCTCTTCTCTCAGATCAACCTTTCATTGACATATACTACACTGTATTTATACAAAATGGCATCTTTATATATATATTCATCTATGCTTTAGGCCATCAAAGAGTTGGCAAGGAGCTGGAATGCGGGCTGCAGCCTGATGTCGGTGGGCGAGAACGTCCCTCGCTGCTGCGGGGCCCTAACACGCGTCTGATGCTTGCCGCCAGCATCACCGCCCTCCTCTTTCTCTAGTTCTCTTTACACACTGTGTCTATTTGCAGAATATACAAAAAGGAGGCTCAGGATGGATGAGCAGAAGAAAGGAGAAGAGAAAAACAAAAAAGTAACACCATGATCTAAATGTGCTCCACAGTCATTGGTGTGACAGCGTTCAGCAGATAATGAAGGCAGGGTGGGGGAGGGTGTGTGTGTGTGTGTGTGTGTGTGTGTGTCTGTGTGTGTGTGCTGGGGGCAGGGCCCGGCCCGCTCTCCTCCCTGGGTCCCCTGGCTCCTCTTCCTCGCTGGCTGCTGTGGGCGGGGGCCCTGCTTCCTCACACCTTTCCACAGGGCTCTTGCTGCTGTGGAGTCACACAAGGACAAACACTGAGCACTCTGAAAATGCTGAACTAAAGGAACCTCTCCTCCTGCAAGGTGTGGTGCTCTTTTGTCCCGGCAATGGGAAGGTGGTTGAGCACTGGGAAACTTAGAGATTCTGTCTCAAACTAAGAAGTTTGTAATCAAGATTGGGGACGTAGTTTAGTGGTACAGTGCCCCTGGGTTCAGTCATCAGTAATGGGGCGGGGTGACTGCTGTGCAATCCCTCTTGCATACAGATGTTAAAAAAAAAAAGAAAGTTCAATATGAAATGAACTATATATGATAATCAAATAGAGCCTGCCCCAAGAAGTGTAAGTTTTTTTTTTTTTAACACTCAAAAATCAACTCATACAATTGTATCCCAGCATTGGGGAGGCTGAGGCAGGAGGATTGCTTAAGCCCAGCCTGGTCTACATAGTGAGTTCAAGCCTGCCTTCACTATGAAGTGAAATCTTGTGAGGGAGGGGAAGGAATTTAACATTCATTTATTTCTTTTTTATTTTAAAGAGGGTAAAACAAAACATAACGAAACAGAACAAAGCAGAGCAGAAGAAAACAATGTGACACACATTTCAAAGCAAGAGAACACGAGATCAACAGGAGCTAGCATGTCTCTTATTTTCTTCTAAATAGTGGTCCATATCATCACACACGATGAATTCATACGAAACAAAACAGTATAAACGATCAAAACAGGATAATGAAAGCGTTATAGGCCTTCAAAATCAAACAATAGGAAAATAAACAATGCTGCCATAATGTTTCTTGTTCTCTTCAAAATAGCTGTCCATACCTTCATGTGTGTTGAAGTCAAATAATACAATAGAGACCCAAACCACTCTAAACAAAGAATAAAAGCATTACTAGATTTCATAGCATGATGATAGGAAATCAGCAATGGATACCACAATGTCTCTTTTTTTTCAAAGTAGCTGTTCATATCATCACACATAATACAATTAATTCTCATAAACTGTTTAGGTGAAGTTCTAGGCATGTATAAGCCTCTACATATACATCTATCCTTTTTGCATTAGAGGGAAAGACAAAACAAATTACTAGAAAAACAAGAAAAAAAGACAAATAAAGAACAATGGCAAAGAGTCCCAAACAATGACAATATAAGCCTTCAAAACAAGGTGGTAGGAACATAACTGAGGTTATTTTATACAGTAATCTTCAAAAGAGTTCCTCATATCACCAGATACAAGCATGCAAAATTGATCCAGTCCTATGAATGTTAACTGTTTTGTCCCAAGAGCTAATACAATTTGTAGCACAATCATCTTCACTATCTTAAGTGTTGTTTATTGCTCGGAGTAACTTTTTCCCCTTTGAGCAGATTCTTACTCTTTCACCATACTGATCGAGGATTTTGTATCTTATGTGTTCTTACCCTTTCGTACGCTAGGGAGACTATACAGTATTTACACGTATGAGTTTGATTTATTTAACTTATGAGTATGGTCTCAAGTTGCATCCATTTACCTATAAAAGTCTCAGCTGTGATTATTCTTTATAGCTGAGTAGTACTTCATTGTATAAAAATACCACATCTTTTTTATCCATTCCTCAGTTGATGGGCATTTCAGTTGTTTCCAAGATCTGGCTATTCCAAATTGTGCTGCTATAAACATGGGTACACATATATCACTGTGATATGTTTTTAATTCTTCTAATAATATGCTCAAAAGTGGATTAAAACCCATTTCTAGCTAAAACTTTCTTGGTAGTAAAAATAGAAGAAATTCCTCAATTTCATGAAAATTATTAATTAAAATCCAAGATTGAGATTAAAGATCTGAGAACTCTATTGCGAAGTCCACTGTAGCATAATTCATGGTAGTCAAGGAAGGAGATGAATTAACTGTCTGTTGGAGGGCGAATGGGTGAAGAAACGGTGGCATCTCTGCATACCTTGAAATATTATTTGGTCTTTAGAAAAAAAACCAGATTTACCATTTGCAACAGCATAGATAAACTTGGAGGCCTTTACGAACATGAAACAGAGAACTAGACACAGAAGGAGAAACACTGACGATCTCACTTATCTGTGGAATATGTAACAGTCGCATCGGTGGAGGCAGCCAACAGGACTGTGGTTTCCAGGAGTGAAAGAGGGAAAGTGAGAGACGGGCCAGGCATATCGAATTGTAATTACACACGAGGAATACATTTTAGTGACTCAAAGATAGCAGGGGACTCCGAGTTAACAGTGCTGTACCGGCTATGTGAAATTTGCTAAGGGCGTAGATCTCGAGTGTCTTTACCACGCACAACAAAAGATAACTTCACCAAAAGAGATGTGCTAATGAGCTTGGCTATAGAAACCAGCTCACTATTCATGTGTATACCAAAATGTTACACTGTATACTTGAAATATACACAATTTTTGAAATAAAAAACAATTTGGCAAAGCTGTAAAAGCACAGTATAAAATTGGAAGGATATTTTATATTTAAACCTGCTTTAAGCCGGGCATGGTGGCACACACCTGTAATGTCAGCACTCGGGGAGGCTGAGGCAGGAGGATAGCCCTGAGTTCAAGGACAACCTGGGCTACAAAGTGAGTTCAAGGCCAGTCTGAAAAGGATAGCAAAACCCTGTCTCAAAAAGTCAAAAATATAAACTTAGTTGAAAATATGATAGCTTTATGAATAAAATACTATGGAATTTTATATTTATTTCTTACAACTTCTATTTAAAATATAGAATCGTTTTAATGGTAAAATGATGAAATGATAAAATATCAAGAAAGTTAGAAACTGAAAACAGAAATTACTACAAGGAAGTCACTGCAAATAAATTTGCCTTTCGTGAGAATATGAGGCTGTATTCTTGTTTTATGAACTGAAGTTAAAATTTCTGGTAGCAGCTGTGCAATTTCCTAAATAACCAGCAGGGGTCAGGCTTATCCTATATTATACAAAACCACACATGGATGCTGTTAGCGTCTCCTACTAAAATGAGAAAAACATACAGCACTGTCTCAAAAGCTGAAAGAGAAACACTCTATATTCCTACATAATAACTCTTTGCCCATTGATTGTGAAATGACAAAGTCTGGAGAATAACTTGACATTATTTACGTATAGATAAAAAATTCATAGTTTGAATTTAAAATGAAGCAAATTTTACCTATAAAATATAACAATAATTTCATAAACAATTGTTAACTAGAAAAGAACAGTACACAGTTACCATGTTAGATGTGTGTATGGAGTCCTTCATTGCTCCAGGGAGAAGACATTTTCTGAGAAATATGCTCAAGTTTTTTTCTTTTTCCTTTTTTCCCCTTCACTTTGAGAGCATCATGGAGCACAGTTACACAAATTAAGAAGGCCCTGACATCACTGAGTGGGACCACTGTCTCATATGCACCGTGGCATTGAGTGACACGCCAGTATGCATCACATGAGTGTACACGGTGGGTGTAATGATATATATGCATATATTTATCGAACGTATACTTATGTACACATTTGAATCAAATTTCAGAAAGTGTGCATGTCAAAGAGCATAATAACATTGTTAACAGTACCTGGATGGCAGTATGGTTTAAATGACTTCTCCATCTGCATCTTTTTATTTGCTCTAATTTCCAAAATTTCTATGATTATGCAATGCCTTGTTCTAAAATACAGATACTAAAAAGAAACATTTCTCTAAGTGGAGGCTGTGCAGTCTGAGCTCCCCATTCATTCTGTGATGCAACCAGGAAAACCTCAAGTGGCAGCCGTAGGTGGACATTTCTGAGGAAGACTCGTCTTCAAGGCTCGCAGGGCGCTGGAGTTTCAGGTGTGCACTGCCCTGTTCTACGCTGTTTAATGTCACCTGTGCCCCTTCTTTACCCTTGACCACAGCAGCTCAAGTCTTTTTGTGATGCCGCTATTTTTGTGCTGTATTTCTTGTTTCACTGACTAGGTCCTTAAGTAGCAAATAGAATTGTTT